AATAGTTCCCAATTATTGTTTTAATTTCCTCTTTATTAGTTGTTGACTTACCTTTTAAAGGAAATAAGAAGAAAGTAAGTGAAAGATGGTTGAATTATATGAATATCTCAGGACTGTGAAACTTAAAATGCATATTTTCTGTTAAATCATGCGCAACTGACAACATGTTAAAACCTGCAAACTGGCAAAATAAGAATATAGATAGTTCCAATACATTTCCAATATGCTACAATACTGATCATCCACAAAGTACCTCCTTTTATGCCTCATCATAAATGGAGGTCACCATAAATCAGAATTAGCAAACTTTTTCTGTAAAAAGTTAGGTAGTAAACATTTTAGACTTTTCATGTCAGTAGATAAAATGGAGGATTATTTATACAATAAGAGAGAAAACAAATTTCTATAATTTTACTGATGAAATTTAAAATATAATAATTTAACATTTCACTTTTACTAATTGGAATGTAATTCTTTTTTCTGAAAAAAATGTTTAATTAGCGTTCAAATTTATTGTTTCCTCTAATTAAAATCTATGGCAAAAGTACGTCTATTAATATTGAGCAGTAATGAGTTTGTATATATTTCAACTTTGACAATATTTTCACACAGATTGTTGTTCCTAAATATTGAAACTAGTCTAAGAACAAATGACTTCAGTTAAGCATGTTCATTACTAGAAAGACATTTACAGAATTTGATTAAGTTTTTCTTTTGATATTTGTCTTTTGCATGACATTTAATTTCGGATTAACCACTTACAACTGCAAGTTAGATGGAAATTCTTCTGTACAATTAAATGGATTTCAAAATAGGGAAATTTCTTTTACATTTGCATTGAATTCTGAAAAATTCTGCTGGAACTGTGCTTTGAGCTCAGAAAATATATCCACTGCAGATTTATGTGGGAATGATTATTTTGCTACATGTTTTAAGTTTTAATAGCAAGGGAAGAATATAAAACATCTTGACATTACATTCAAGCAATATGAGTTATAATTAAATTGACTTAGTATAAATTTCACATATGAACATTGGCTGTTTTATATTGTATTTTTAGGTTGACCTCATTAAGAAACATCAAGTCCTTATCAAAAGCTACTTTCCACAATTATTCAGAGTTGATAATATCATTTGATGGCAATTCTTTTTTGTTTAGGAAAATTTCAGTATGTCCCTGAACGAAAAAATCATCATAACACTCTTAAAAATCTTTTTTTTTCTTATTTTGACAGGATATATATTTGATTATTATAATAACAGATAATACATATTAGTAGTTGTTGAGTCATGTGTGACCTCATTTGCCCTTTCTCCAGCTCATTTTCAGTTGAGGAAATTGAGGCAAACAAGGTTAAATGACTTGCTCAGGGTCACCCAGTTTTAAGTGTCTGAGGCCAGATTTAAACTGAATTCTTCCTAACTCCAGGCCTGGAGATCTGTGTACTGCACCACTAGCTGCCCTTACTTCAGTACAGCATTTCACCTGACACTTGAATGAGTATGGCTATAATAAAATAAATGCAAATAGATACTGAGATTTAAATTTCATATTACTTTTATATATCATTAAATATTTTTCTACTTTTGATTTTTTTCAAACATTGAGGACTACTAGACGAAATGAGTTATAACAGAACTGACATTCTCACTGTCAATGTAACTTGAGGTTTCTGCTAAAAAGATTAGCTTACAGGCTTTCAAAGATGTCATAAATGTTCATCATATAGCCAACAGCTTCAACAATAATAATTCAATAGTTTACATTTATATAATGCTTTAACATTCAAAAATGCATTTTCTTTACAACTTGCAAGGTCTGTAGTTCAACTATTATAATCCTAATTTTGCAGTAGAGGAAATTGAAGCCAAGAGAGGGGAAGTGATGAGTCCATGGTTTTACACAAATATTTGCCAGATCTGTGTCACAAATTTATGTCTTGTGCCTCAAAATTCAGTATTATGTCCATTGCACTGAGCCACTTGTTATTTTGTGTAACACTTGGTCATCTTGTCTTATAACACTCACAGGGAGAGTAACAACAGAGCAGTATAAAGTTAATTGTCACATACATCAATATATACTGAAAGACACAAAGCCAAGACATCTAGTTAATAACTTGACAAGATAATCCAAATTAAATATACTTTGATTTTCAATATAAGATTGAGCAGAAGTGAAAATGGAAGAATACAGATGTAAAATATTTTAATGGAGAAATAAAAGAAATCTAAGGCTAATGGATTACTCAATAGCCTCATATCATCATCATGATATTATCTTCAACAAGAAAGTTGGATGGTGCTAGATATGTCTGTCACCTAAAAGCATGATTAAAATGCAATTGACTATGAATTAACAGATATAAAGTCAGTGATTAAAATTATCTAGATCATTTCATAATTATTGACTACAGAGTAAGATTTTTACAGCAAGATTTTTTAACATAGATTGTAACTACCCTCTATAAAATCAATGAGTAGTTTTCATAGGATCCAAAAACTTGTTTTGTCATATATAACAATGAGTAGAAAACACTATATTCATATAATTTAGCTGTGCCATAATAATGAGGACCAATGCCTTCATTTTCAGCTTCTTGGTACTTCAAAAAGAGCACAGAGATGTAGATATATAGATGATATAGATTAGATATATAGATATAAATGTATATATACATGCATATGTACTTATATATTCTATTGTGTAATCTCTAATAATCCACATATATAGGAATATATATATATATATATATATATATGTATATATATATGTTATTCTTACATATTTCATATACAAGTTCTTTCCTACTTTCTTTAATCTTTCATAGGTATATCAATAATATCTCTGGTTCATATTATGACATTAATAAAAGTTTGTTGTTTTGAGTATTGTTTTAATTGCATTTTAGTATTCTTGAACCAAATTCATAGCTCTACCACTAGCATATTATTGTCCCTATCCTCCTATAATTATAATTTTTAGAACAGTAGCTTTGATACCGTGAGGGATTTGAGGTAACCACTACCCCCAGAGTTGTTTTAATTTGCCTTTCTCTTATTATTAGTAACATGAAACACACATCATTTATGTATTCAGCTGCAATGGCTCCCTACTACTTCTAGGATCAAAGATAAAGATCCTATGTTATGTTTTTAAAATTTCATAACGTGTCCGCTTTCTATCTTTCCTTCTTTTACATCTTAGGCCTTCAATGTATTCTCCCACCAGTGACACTGGCCTTCTTGCTATTCTTCACAAAAGCCACCTATCTTGTGACTACACATTTTAAATGGTTGTTCTCCTATACCTTGAACTCTCTCCCTCTTCATTTGTACTCCTTGTTTCCTTCAAGTACTAGATAATCTTTTGCAAGAACCTAATTTCTCATAGTGAAGTTGCTTGTCTGTGAATTAAGGAAAACCATGATATTAGAAGGTTTAAAATTATAAGCAACTACAGTCCCAATAGGAAAATGAATGGAATTAGCATGGAATAGTGGAAAGGTCACTACAGTGTGTATTAGATATATGTGTGTATATGTGTGTTTGTATGTCTGTGTATATGTGTATTTGTGTGTGTCAGAAACAATGTTTAACAATCTGGAGGCAATGTCCCAGTACTTTGGATAAATTGTCTATGCAGTATTTATTGGAAGATGTGAATGAGAAATTAATAAGATGGGAAGACATGGAAGGATATGAACTACACTGATGAAGAAGATGCCCACACTGATGAAATCATATATCTTTCTAAATTTCTTCTTGTAATTTGTAAACTTGTACCTTCTAAATTTCTATATATACTATGAAAATTTACTTAATCTCCATAGATCTCAGTTTTCACTTCTGTAAAATGAGAGGGTCAGGCTAGGTGGACTTTGAGGTCCCTTCCTTCTTTATATCTATTACCCATGGTTATATGCAAATCAATTAAAAAGAGAGATCATAGGGTAGGATTTATCTATCCCTAGATCTTCAATAATACACACACACACACACACACACACACACACACACACACACACACCCCTACCCAATATTTTATCTTTTAAAAACTGGGTGACACCACGAATAGGGTACTGTAACTGAAGTCAATAAGACCTGAGTTCAAATTTGACCTCAGATACTTACTAGCTGTGTGACCCTGGACAACCAAGTCATGACCTTTGTTTCAGATTCCCCATCCATAAAATGGGTATAATAATAGCACCTACCTCACAAGGTTATTAAGAGGATTAAATGACATGATATTTGTAAAGCATTTTGTAACCTCCTAAGCATGTTATAAATACTAGCTATCATTAATATTATTGTTAGTGGTATGATATATTCAGAACTATAATGCACTGGAAATGTAATTTAAAACTGTAATGTAAAGGAGTGATTTCATCCATACCTCTTATTTTCCAGATGACAAACCTGAGTTTCTAACAGGCTAAATAACTTGTTCAGTGTCACACAGATACTAAGTTGAAAGGACAATACTAGAACCTTGGACTTCTGACTCAAAATCCAGAGTTCTTACATCATATAAGACTGTCTAATAATGTCTTACTTTCTAATATTCAAAGTGATGTCAGTTGGAGAGCTAGATTCCATCCCTAGCTTGATCACCAACAGGCTCTGTGAAGTAAAGTGTACATACCTCTAATCCATTAATTCACTCACCTCTCAGTGTTTTCTTTGGTAAAAGATTAGATGAGATGATCTCACATTTTAAAGCTCTATAATATTATAATTCAGCAACATAGTCTGACAACATGACTCTTGAAATAAACTAAAGAAGTTCTCAGCACTGTTTTAATTAATATTAAAATGTGAGAAAAAACTAACTTTTGAACATTCCCCAGATATTGACCATAATCTGCCAGTTTGCATAAGCAACAGCAAATTCTTTAAAAGCTCCCAGGTTTTCTTCATTTCAAAGTTAATTTTCTTTTAATGATTCACTTTTTTAGGATCACCTTAACTCAAACATTTTCCTTCTTTGTTTTTAGCTTGATGGCTCACTGAATCAGATTCGTAAACTCCAGCGATCTCTAGATGAACAGATAGAAATGAATGATAATCTACAGATTCAGCTCAATCATCTACAAAACAGGTAATGATAATACAATAACATTTTGTTCAGCCATGAACATGTGGGGTTTCAAAGATCTACTCTTTTACTTCTAGGTGTAATTGTATTTCTATCATTCATATGTAAAAACATTTTTCTTATTTTCTTACATAAATATTACTCAAGAGTTACGTTTCATAATCTTAAAGGAGAATACTTATCAACAATTGTGACGTGTTTATTTAATCAGAATGTTGTATTGTTGGTATGTGATAGGGAGACAATATGATACAGTGATAAAGATATTGTCTTTGGAATCAGAGAACTAGTGTTCAAATCCTGACTTTGTCATTTATTTTTATGTGATGTACCTCTAGAAATTGTTTCCTTATCTGTAAAGTATTGGATGAGTTGAACTCTAAGAATCCTTCTTTTCCTATATTTATTATCCTATTATTATGTGAGAGATTTCTAGATATTTGGTGTTCATAGAAAATTTAGAATACTGCAAGTCTCCATTTTTCTTGTGGTTCATTTTTCTTGTCAGTGGCAATGTAAAATCTTCCATTAAGCATTTCTGTTAGAAGATGAGCCTTTTGTGATTCCAAGTTCAAAAAAAATTCATTAGATCAATATAAAAAATATGATCTAAGAGAGTAGACACACAAAGAAATTATGTCGTTATGTCTTTTTGAAAGACTGAACTACAGGACTCACCTTTGTGTATACCATAATCACTTGCATCTCTGAAATGAATCACCTGGAAATATAGGAGTACAAAAGTACTATGACTACAAAAAACACAGGCTTTGGGTACTCATTGATTGAGGAAAGGTTGAAGATTTTTTTTTGCATATGAATATACTGGAATATTATTGTGTGATAAAAAAATAGCAAATAGGACAATTTCAAAGAATCCAGGGAAGTCATAACTGGTGTAAAGCAAAATGAATAAAAGCAGGAGAATAATATATACACTAGCAATATTGTAAAGAAAAACAATTTTGAAAGACTTATAAACAAAGCAATGACTAACCATTTCTTCAGAGCATCTTTATGAAGTATGTTACTCAACTTCTGAAATAGAGATGAAGAGCTAAAGGGGCTAAAGGAGACATTCATGATTGTACTTGGGCACTATGCAGATTTCTTTTACTTAGCTATGGTTATTTATCAAAAAGAGTTTCTTTCTTTTTTTGATGTGGGAAGAGGGAAAAGTAGCAATGGTAATACTATATATATAATATTTAGATGCAAATATTATATACAATTTAATGATTTTATGTACAGTCATTTTTACTGTATATTTAACTACTCATTTTGGGTGTGTCTTTGCTTAAGAATGAATATATATGTATCGATATATGTGTGTGTTAACATATATGCAAAGAAATGTACTATGTGGCATAATGAGAAAGACCCTGGGACTTTGAAAACAAGTTCTGATACTGTCAACAAATAACTATGTGGCCATAAACCAGTCACATCACTTGTCATAGGAATGATAAAACTTTCACAACCTAGTTCACATGTTTATTGTGAGTAAAGTGTTTGTAAACCATAAAGCACTGTACATATGTAATCATTCATTGTTTTGAAGTATTGAACCATTTCTTTGAAAGACAAGATATTATTGTTTCCTAGTGCAAGTTAAGCTTGGTTAAAAATTTGGAGAACAGAGAATTTAAAAATATCAAGGCAGATCTTTGTAACATTCAAGAAAATATATCACACAACTCATTTAGAAACAAGTTTGAATTTTACGTTTGGATTTCACTTGTGATATAGTAAAGTCTGTTGCTATTATTCTTGAATGTTTTCTGTTATGGATGTTGGTGAATTACTCATAAAAGTATTTATGTTTCCCTTAAGTGCCAGATTTTTATAATGAATATAATAGGGTACTCTTGAAAACGATGAAAAAGGTTAGTGATATGATGTTGTGAGATACAAGTAAAAATAATTTCATTAAACAATAAAAGTAACATCTGCCTCCATTTAATACTTTAAATCCAGTTTATAGCTATTCTTAAGAATTTTTACATTTCCTAAGACCGGTATGAGAAATATTACCATTTTAGAATTCCTGCATAAAATCACTTTGGAAAATGAAAGTTAAAAAAAAAGAAGAAAACAAAATATTGTGGGCAGATCCAAGATGGCAAAAAAAAAAGGCAAGGGATCACCTTAGGTCTTCCAAATTCTCTCTAAACAATTTTAAGCAACATTCTTCAAAATGAATTATGGAGTGGAAGAAACCACAATGTAACAGGGTGGAACGATGTTCCATTCCAAGAAAACTTAGAAGGTCTGCAGGAAAAGTTTATTGCACTTGGGTAAGAGTGGAACATAGTCCATCATGGGATGCATTGCAGCAGAAGATGCAGGTGATTAACTCAGTAGAAGTAGCAATTTCTGGAACTCTCAGCACAAATATGATAAAGGGGTGGAATACCTAGTCAGAAGAAGAGTATAGGGGTTCCTTTTTTGGCACTGGGTGCAGGACTCGGTTGCATTGCCCAAATGTAGATCTAGAGTGCAGACCTGGGTTGCAATCCCTAGGTAGATCACTACCATACCAGAGCTTACAGCCACAGAGGGGCAGGGATCCTAGTCACATTTTCAGGGCAAGAAAGAGTGCTTGTGGGAAGGAAATGAGAAGTATGCAAAAGAGAGTCAATAGCTTGGAAAAGGAAGGACAAAAATTAACTGTAGAAAACAAGTCCTTAAAAAATACAACTGGCCAACTGGAAAAAAATACACCAAAAAAAACCAAGTCCCTAAAAATACAATTGGGAAATGGGGAAGAAGGTACAAAATCTAATAGAAGAAAACAATTTGTTAAAAAATAGAATTGGGAGTGACTTACTTGACCTCTCCCCTAAACCCCTCCAAATGCTCATAAAAAATGGCTCTAAACAAATTCTGAAGCAGCAAAACCCACAAAAAGACAGAGTGAAACAAATTTCCAGCCCAAAACAATCTGGATGATTGATCAGAAAGGTCTATCTCACCGGGCCGGGAGAAGAGCACAGTGTGGCTTGGACACACAGGCTGCAGTGAACCTGGAGCAGGCCTCAGAGGACTGAATCAGTGGCAGCTGTGGTGGATTCCAGACTCCTCAGTCCATGAATGCCAAAGACAACTTGGAAAGTCTGTGGGAAAAGTCTGTTTCTGCTGTGCTGAGAGGCGAACGCGGGGTCTCAGCTCCATTCCCCAAGACTGTGACCCTTGGGGGGCAGCTGCCTCCTGAGCTTCCAGCCCATAGACTGAGGGGGAATCCAGTGGCTGATCAGAGAGGGATTACAGGGATCTCTTTGCCAGTGCTGAGACAGGAATCTCTTGCTTTTCTGGTGTTTGAACTTGGGTCACAGTTCGGGGAAGCAGTCCTGGAGTGAGAAGGAGCACTGGCTTAGTGGAGCTTCTCACAATTCCAGGACAGAAAGAAGTGCTTGTGGTCACAGGCTAGTAACGGAGTAAACACTTCACCCTTTATGATACCACATTGGAAGAACTGAAAATTTACAGGTTCCTGCAAGTATCTATGAAAACAGCTGTATAAACCCCCTAAGCTTGGGACAGTACATTCTACACATTGGAAGCAGACTCTTACCTTAAAAAAGAGCTTAAAACTCAAGTAACTGGCCGGGATCATGAGCAAGCAGAGCAAAAAGAGTCAGACTATATTATCTTATTTTGGTGAAGAAGTCAAAGCTCCTACATCCAAAGCCTCCAAGAAAAATATGAATCAGTCCCACGCCTTGGAAGAGCTCAAAAGGGATTTTGAGAAGCAAGTAAGGGAAGTAGAGGAAAAACTGGGAAGAGAAATGAGAGTGATGCAAGAAAATCATGAGAAGCAAGGCAACACCTGGCTAAAGGAGGCCCAAAAAAATACTGAAGAAAATAACACCTTAAAAAACAGCCTAACCCAAATGGCAAAAGAGGTCCAAAAAGCCAATGAGAAAAGTGCCCTAAAAAAAAAAAATTGGCCAAATGGAAAAGGAAGTCCAAAAGATTACTGAAGAAAATACTTCCTTAAAAATTAGAATAGAGCAATTAGAAGCTAGTGACCTTATGAGAAATCAAGACACTGTTAAACAAATCCAAAAGAATGAAAAAACTAGAATACAATCTGAAATATCTCATTGGAAAAACAACTGACCTGGAAAACAGATGCAGGAGAGAGAATTTAAAAATTATTGGACTATCTGAAAGCCATGATCAAAAAAAGAGCCTAAACATCATCTTTCAAGAAATTATCTGAGAAAACTGCCTTGATATAGTAGAACCAGAGGGCAACATAGAATTTGAAAGAATCCACAGATCTCCTCCTGAAAGAGGTCCCCAAAGGAAAACTCCTAGGAATATTGTAGTCAAATTCCAGAGTTCCCAGGTGAAGGAGAAAATATTATAAGCAACCAGAAAGAAACAATTCAAGTATTGTGGAAACACAATCAGGATAACACAAGATTTAGCAGCTTCTACATTAAAGGACCACAGGGCATGGAATATAATATTTCAGAGGGCAAAGGAGGTAGGATTACAATCAAGAATCACTTACCCAGCAAAACTATAATCCTTCAGGGGAAAAAAATGGTCATTCAGTGAAATAGAGGAACTTCAAGCATTCTTGATGAAAAGACCAGAGCTGAATAGAAAATTTGACTTTCAATTACAAGACTCAAGTGGAACATGAAGAGGTAAACAGGAAAGAGAAATCATAAGAGACTTATTAAGTTTGAATTGTTTACATTCCTGCATGGAAAGATGATATTTATAACTCATGAGACCTTTGTCAGTATTAGGGTAGTTAGAGAAAAAAATTGTATGTATGTAGATAGATAGATAGATAGATAGATAGATAGATAGATAGATAGATAGATAGAGGGCACAGGGTGATTTGAAGATTAAGGGGTTATATCTGGAGAATAAAATTAAGGGATGAGAGAGGATTATACTAGGAGAAGAAGAAGTAAATAAACCAGAGAGTTCCACTTCTGGTAGTCAAGATGGTAGAGTGAAAAGGTAACTGCTCTCATTCT